CATAACATAACATAACATAACATAACATAACATAACATAACATAACATAACATAACACAAAATAGTCCCCAGTTGAAATAAGCAGAAAAGTTCTCTTTCACAATAATTATCAGTGAATTTTCTTGCTGAACTAGTTTGAAGTTTAACTTGTCTTCTCCCAGTGAAAATTCACTGTAACTGTATTGTCTCCTGAATTCCCCCCTTTCTGAAGGATGGGAAGGGGCAGCACAGGATTGCCAAAGGGAAGAATCTCTGGCAATGAAATCAGAAGATGTTAATATAATGCAAAGGAGATAACATTAATAAGCTGCACCTTGTTTATAGGTATGGTCTCTGCCCCATCCTCTGGAATAGAGATGTGTACAAAGCCCTCTGTTAACTAATAGGCAATTTTAAAACAGTGTCTTTCATATGATGTATTCACTGGAACTGTTATAATATCCAGTTTTGTTCTCCCACCCATCCTCCTAATGTGAGTGCCAGGAGGCAAAATCGGTGGAGGGGGACAGAAATCAGGCATTGTAAGCAATCACATAGGCAGGCATGCTTGGACTCTCAGAGGACATTAGGAACGTATCAGATAAAATTATTGAGAAACTGACTCTATAAAAACTAGTGCAGTCTTAAGATAGAAGTCCACAAACTGGGAGAAGATATTTGCAAAACACATATCCGATAAAGGACTTACATCGAAAACAAAGAACTCCTACAACTCAGCAAGTAAAAGAAACAATTCAGTTTCCAAAACATGGGTAAAAGATCTGTGTAAGCGCCTCATGGAAGGAGGTAGAGAGATAAAAAAATAAACATATGAAAGACGCTCAACATTGTACGTCATTAGGAAATTTAAATTAAAACAAAAATGGCATTCCACTACTTGCCTGTGAGAATGGCTAAAAGCCAAAACACTGACAACTCCAAATGCTGGTGAAGATGTGGAGAAACAGGAACTCTCATTTGTTGTCAGTGGGAATGCAAAATGGTAGAGTCATTCATTCATAGACAGTTTGGCAGACAGTTTGGGCTTGCCATACGATCTAGAAATCACATCCCTAGGTATTTACCAAAATGAGTTGTAAGCTTATATCCACACAAAAACTTACACATGAAATGTTTATAACAACTTTACTCATTTTTGCCAGAAATTGGAAGCAACCAATTGGAATGTCCTTCAGTAGGGGAATGGATAAACAAACTATGGTAGATATATATGATGGATTATGACTCATTGTGGTAAAATAAATACATATTTTACATTTAAATGTTAACACTTTGCAATAGTGATAAACACAAATGAGCGATCAAGAGAGGAAAATATGCGGATAAATTTTTAATGCATGCTAAATGAAAGAAACGAGTCTAAAAAGGTTACATACTATATGATTCCAACTGTATGACATTCTGGAAAACGCAAAACTATGGAGACAGTAAAAAGATCAGTGGTTGGGGGGGCTGTTTAAGGGAAGTGTAGGAGAAATGAATAGGGGGAGCACAAAGCATATTTAGGGTGGCAAAGCTATGCTATATATGCTATCACGGTGGATTCATGATGTTATGAATTTGTCTAAACCAATAGAATATGCAACATCAAGACTTACCCTAATGTAAACTATGAACTTCTGTTAATAATACTGTATCAGTATTGGTTCATCAATTACAACAAACGTGCCAAATTAACGCAAGATGTGTGTGTGGTGGGGAAAGGAGTATATGGGACCCCTCTGTAAGGGGATATGGGAACTCTATGTAAGTTTTCTGTAAATCTAAAACTGCGCTAAAATAGTCGATGAAAATAAAAATCAATAACAGAAACTACACTTTCTTGAGATTAAGGCCTTCTAGGCTATTAATTCCTCTAATTGGAAAAAACCTTTCACCTTTCCTCCCTGGCTTTTAGAGGTTATAACATCTTCTGACATGTATCATTCACTCAACAGCTAGTGCCAAGCATGGTTTTAGATCCTGGAGATACAGCAGTAAACAAAACAAATTAAGTACCTTTTCCTATAGGGCTTACACTTTGTGGGGAAAGACAAATACATAGAAACGAAATCATTAGAATAATTTCGGATGGTGACAACCAATATGAAGGAAATTTTTAAAGCATAATAATGGAATAGGTACTGCTGGAGTAGGAGTTGAGGAATCAACTTTAGCTAGGGCAATCCTAGGTGGCCTCCTGGCAAGGTGTCTTTTACACAGAGCCCTGAATGTTGAGGGGGCTGTATGGGAAAGGTATATTAGGCAAGAAGAACAGAAGGTTTAAAGTCCTCAGGTGAAAACATATTTGGAATGACTGTAGCTTGAAAGACAATCTGTGTCACCAAGCGTAGAGATTGAAGTAGTAAAGGACAAAAATGGAGGTTGGGGGAGGGGAGGCACTGGGTTCTGCTAATGTTTGTCTCCTCTGTTCAGGGAAACTTCCAGAAAATGGAATTTATCCCCAAATTCCTTCCAGATGACTTTTTCAATTCAGCAAATGTGCACTACTCATTTGGGTGGATCTTTACCGTCCATTCTATACATTCATCTGTTACCTACCTTACAGTTGCAAAAGTTATGCGATAAGAAACAGCAACTACCATCAATAAGACTGTACCACATTTTTCCTAATATTCTGCAACTAAATATTTTGTTCAGAAATATGAAATGTTTCAAACATGATGAAAATAACAAAACAGATATCAAAAAACCCACAGCTCAGATTTATTGGAAGTTTACGATTTGTCATTTTGCTTCACAGCTTTCTTTGTCTTTAAATAAGATATTATGGAATGCGGTTAAAAACCAATTCTCCCATCCTTTCCCCCTGTCCTTCTATCCTGAGGTACTCTTTTGAAGTTGGTACCATTTCCAGACATATTTTAACCATTTTCTATAAATATATTTTTACCCATAAACAATACATAGTATTTCTTCATCTATCTTTTTTATGACCCCTCTCTGGGCTATATCTTGATTCTTTTTGACAGAATTCTTTTGAGTAGCTGTCAAAAAAAGTCAGTCTGAAAGAACTGGAGATCATGCCATCATTCATGGAGTTGAGCATACTAGGGAATGACACAGCCACCATGAAGTAATTTCAGGTAAGGAGTATCTGCTCTGATAACTGGCAAGCACTGAAGGAAAGATCTTTCTAGAAAATATGGATACAGGGAACTAGCACTGAAACGTATTGACAAATAACAGTTGACTGAGATTCACTCATTTATTCATCCATTTTACCAAGATTTACTGAACTATGCGTCGCCTGAGAATATAAAACTGATTAGGGCAAAAATCCCTGCCTACAAGGTATATATGTGTGGTCTCAGGTTGAGCTAGAATGCTCTTCTTCTTGGGGCGCCTGGGTGGCTTAGTTGGTTAAGCATCCAACTTCGGCTCAGGTCATGATCTCAAGGTTCGTGGGTTCGAGCCCCACGTTGGGGTTGGGCTGACAACTCAGAGCCTGAAGCCTGCATCATATTCTGTGTCTCCTCTCTATGCCTCTCCTCCACTTGCACTCTGCCTCTCTCCCTCTCAAAAATAAATAAACATTAAGAAAATTAAAAAAAAAAAAAAAAAGAATGTTATTCTTCTCTGGGAGTGAAGAAGATTTTAAAGACTTTAAAAGATTTAACTTTTATGAAAGCAGAGAATAAGTCCTTGGTCATGGTTTCAAGGATATGTTTTGAACTGAGGATCAGAATCCATTTTAGGAAAATGGAGGCAAATGTTGGGAAAATCATGACATAAACTGTACGTCTTCTTACTTCCTCAGTGGCATCATGGCGCCATTTTGAAGTTTTCTAACTTACTTTGTCTTACACTGCTTCCTTCCTTGTTAACTTTCAAAGATAGTCGCTCCATGTATTTTTAATATTTGCATAAGTGGTATCATACTTCATACAGATTTCTGTAATCTGCAGTTTCCCCATCAAAGTTGTTTGAGTTATATCTGGGTTGATTTAAGTAAATAAGATTAATGATTTTTTTTAAGTTTGTTTGTTTGTTTGTTTATCTTAAGTAATCTCTGCACCCAACGTGAGACTCCATCTCACGAGCCCAGGATCAAGAGTTGCTTGCTCTTCCAACTGAGCCAGCCAGCCGCCCCTAAAATTAATGATTTTAAATCATATGTATTGATGTACATTGTTCCATATTAAGAATGAACCACAGTTTACATATTCATTCTCAGTATGACAGGATGTTTGACTATTTGAAACAGTGCCACAGTGGAAATCCCTATACGGTTTTCTGTCAGCTGTGTGAAGGAGTTTCTCCCAGGCATATACCTAAATATGGACTTTCTGGGTCATAAGGTATGTGCACGTTTAATTTTATTAGGTGATGCATAAACTGATAGTTTCCAACCCCAAAACTCATTCTTCTTGATTTTTGATTGGACACGTGGACATCTAAAGAGACATTTCCCATCCTCCCTTGCTAATAGGATGATGTAACTAAAATTTGGCCAATAATATGTAAGTGGAAATGTTGTATGGCAGCTTTCAGCGTATTACCTTAAAAGATAGCTGGCATATACTATTTGTCCTTTCTTTTGCATTGTTCCTTTCCTCTTTACTGGCATCAGAACTATAGATGTGATGACTAGAGATCTAGGAACGATTTTGGGTTGTGAACACAAGGGCTCCATTACAGGGATATCAGAAACAACCAGAGCCTGGGTACCCTTCTGGAGCCACTTTACTAGCAATAAACTTTATTCCTTGAGACTTTATTGGAAAAATATGAATTTATTTCTTGTATAAGCCCCTATTGTTTTAGGTTTTCGGTCACAGCTAGCCAGATATAATCCTAAGTAATGCAGTAATACTCTAAGTTTCCATTTGTTGTACTGTTTAATATTCCCACAAACCTGAATGAGCTTGTCATTATTATACCTTATTTTATAATTATTCAAAGCATTTCATGACTAAGTCTCACTTTTACCCTCACATATCATATGAGAAAGAAAAACAAGTATATTAGGATTTCCACTCTGTAGCTCAGAGGGGTAGAACCTAGGAAGTTCAATGACTTGACCAAGGTCTTTGGTATGGTCAGGATCAAGGATAAATATAATCTCTCTCAGACAAATGCTGTGCTCCTATGGGGCTACATGAAGAGACATTCTTTTGAAAATTATCTAGTTATGCTGACAAACCTTACCTGCTCTACTCCCAGTTAATTCACACAACATTGTGATAAAAGTCTATCATTAGTTGTCCTATTGCTAAGCAAAAGCCTGTGGAATCACATGCTAGAATGCGCACTTTGGGCATTGGCTTGGACTGGGGAGTCAGTCCAACACAAAAGCTCATTGGTTTACAGAGGAGAGGGGAAAGTATACAGTCATCAAAGGAAACTAGCCAATTGCCTGGTCTCTTGGCACTGTCTGCCAGCCAATTTTCAGACTGATGTTGGCCTTGAATCTGAAAAAGTCACTGATCTCCCTGCACAGCTGGAGGGCGTTGGGCTAAAGGAGCAGAATTTGAAAAGGAAGAAGAAACTGAGACCTCATTCTATTTTAAACACTTTTTTTTTCTTTTTTTTGCTAATATGGGAGTGACTTACAGAAAATGGAGTGATGTCAGAACTATTCAGGCTGCAGGCTGCATGGGAAAGACTGTACTGAATGTGCTCTTGAGGACAGAAGAATGTTTCCTAGGAAAGGTCCAGAAATGGTTGTTGTCTGGGACTTGAAATGGCCTGAGGATGTGTTTCTGGCTGCCGTGCCCCTGAAAGGGTTTTGGAGGCACATCAGAGTGCATACATGTGTAACAGAGAGCTCTGGGGTTTGGTTGATGTCAAGTCTAAGGGATCATGCGTTCCCACCTCCAACCAAGAACAGGTTAGTCACCACCATCTTCTCTGTCACCTCTGGTGTCAGGGTGCAGGGGCTTTTGGGTAGAGAAGCATGTTTGGTATAGGTATGTGGAACGAAGAGGCTATGGGGAAAGACAAAAGACAGACAATTCTGTATATTTTGTCCTCCTATGAACTGAACCCTCACTTAGGTAATTCTAAATATATTCTCTTTAAAAAATTCTCCTCTGCCAACTGTGTCTTCAGCTATTATGGGAAATTAAACTACCAAATTTTAAATCTATTTCCAACCCCAGTAAAAATGATACGTAGAGAAGAATGAGCTGTAAATCAAGCTCACTGTGCTACAGGACGCAATCCAGTTCATATATGCCCAATAAATGCCAGCAGATTTTCCAAACCAGAAGTTAACTATCTGTGCTTGATGTGGGAGGGCAACATACATACTTAATAAAATTTAAAATCCAGGCCTCAGGGCTCAACAAATTCAGTTCCTGCTACTGAATTTCTCCTTGAAAATAACATACTGCATTGAAAATGGAAAGTCTAAGGAACTGGAATTTCTGCTGAAATTAGACAGAAGGCTCTACTGTATTTAATCAACTGACATGAGACACTTGGCTCTGGATGAACCACAAATGCTCTGTTTTTATCCGATTCTGCTTTCTACTGATGGGGAGGACACACAGAGTACCATGTGGACAGTGTTGTGAGAAGATCATTATGCAGTGGGAGGAATATACCGGATAAGGATTCTGGCCACCTAGTTTGTAGTCCGTCTTACCTCTATCTAGTTCTGAAAGCTTGGACGATCTTTTAGCCTTAGTTTACATTATTATAAGATAGGGAAAGGAAGATATTTTTTAATATCTAGTCTAGCTTTAGTAGTTTACAATTATCTCACAATTTACTCCACTGATAGGGATTGCTTCTGATAAGAATAAAATACAACAATGTTATAAAGACTGGTGGTGCTTAACCATATCCAGTTCCCCTCTCCTTTCTGGATCCATTACAAAATTAAGGACATGTGACTCCTGATCAATGAGATCTAGATATGATGTCTGTCTGGGTCAAAGAATAGAAGTTCAATGTGAGTTATTCATTGTCTCTGTTCCCCTGTCATCGCACCCCTGCAAGCTGAATGTTGAGATAGTAGAGCCACAGGTGGAAATGATCAGATCACTAATACTTGAAGAGAGCTCCCCGAGAGAGCCATTAAACTTGCAAAGAACTTGGGAGAGTAAGAAACACAAGAGATTTTGAGGGTTTTAATTATAATGTTGTCTGGTCTGTACAAAACGACATATCATTGTTCCAGACCCAGGTGACAGACCCAGAAGGACCCATTTACCCCCATGCAGCAAGTGAATAATTGTCCACAGGCAAGAGACTACACATCCCTGTCTATACCATTAAAAGCAGGCACAAGTAAGAAATATGGAGCTAGGGATATTTACAACACACAGCAATTGCTCAACAAATGCTCATTTTATGAAAGAACAATATGAAGTTCCCCCTCCTGTGTGTTTGACAGGAAAAGAGGATGTGGAGGAGGACGAACTCGTCGAGTTTCTCTGTATCCCGATCCCTGTAGCACATGGTAGTGCTCAAGAAGTGTTTGTTGAATTCAGATGAATTGAGTGAACACTTAGTATGGTGAAGCATATGGCTGGCTTTAAAACTGACAATATCGAAATGAGTATCGGTCCCATTCTCTACTCAGCCTCTACTTTAAAAATAGAAAATATCTAAAATCCATACATGTGTAGGATTGTCATTCACACATTCATTCATTCAGTAAATATTTATTGAGTGCCTGCATTACTCAAGGCACTGTGTTAAGCATTGATGGCATAGGACTGGAAAAGTCCTCTTGAAGTTTACATTCTAAGGCATTGGGGCTGAATGATGGCAGAGACAGAGGGGTGACAGACACTATTTAAATGACACGGTGATGAATATCACCACGGAGAATTATAGGATGCCTTGAGAGCATATGATGGGGGGGTCCCAACCTAGGCTGGTGGTCAGGGAAGGCACCTAGTTTTAACCCAAGTCACAGTTCCTGCTATGGTAATTGTGTAACTAAAAGACTTTCTGGATTTTTCAGCCCACATGAGGAACCTTGCTTACAGACACAGTGGTTGCCAAAGAGAAAGCAAGACAGATGTTTTTCCAGCATTTGCCTTGTTTTCACTTTGCTTGAATTTGAATGTGGCGGTATTAGTGGAACACAGGAAATATTGCAGGACTCTGGGAAATGGACGAAGGTGGG